GAACCCGACCCGGCTGTCTTTTACGGCTCAGCCAATGCCTCGTCCGTCGAAGTGCCTGGTGTCTTCTCCGGCACGGTATCTCCTGTGAGCCGCTTCTCCATATTTCCTTCTGCTTCAGTGTGGTACAGATCCTAGAATTGCTAGGCTCGTACTGATTCACCAACGGGATACCAGCCATTGTCCTGAAGAAATGTGCTCCTGAACTGGCTCCTTCCCTCTCCAAATTATATAACTATTGCCTCAGTGAATCTTGCTTCCTAGCCTATTAGAAGTTCTCATCTATTGCACCTAACCTTAGGAACCCTGGAGACACTTCTGACCCATCTAACTACCGTTCCATCAGTCTCCTACCACTCTTTGGTAAATTCTCAACGCCAAAGTGGTTAATCACCTTATACCTCATGATCTGCACTCTGATAAGCAATATGGTTTTCGCTTTGTCCTTTCTACAGCTGATGTGCTCACGGCCATAATTGATATTGTTTACCGAGCAGTCCTCAATAACGGAGAAGCTCATGCCGTGGCTCTAAGTATTTCTAAAGCGTTTGATAGAGTCTTGCATGCCGGCCTTCTTCGTAAGATTATGGGATACGGAATTTCAGGTCGATTATTTGACTTAATGCGATCATTCCTGTCAAACCGTATAATGAAGGTCGTCTTTAACGGATTCTCCTCCAGTTCCTTTCCCACGAACCCAGGTGTTCCACAAGGCTCTATCCTAGACCCTACCCTGTTCCTTATCTTCATTAACGATCTTTCCGATGTCTTCAGTTCCTCAAATTCACTGTCGAAACGCTTAAATTTAGCCGTCTCTTCTACTCCAATAGCTTCATGTCTCGCACTTCTCGCCTGTGGAATTCCCTTCCTATAACTTGTTTCCCTGATAGCTATAATCTCCAACTATTCAAATGTAATGTCAATCGATATCTCCAGTTGCCCTGACCTATTCCCTGTCCTTCTCTTCTTCCTTTCCTCCATCACGTCTCTTAAATCTCGCTCTCACTCTGTAACCCTCTGCGTACAAGGGGATCCCGCTTTGCACATCATCCGCTTCTTCTCAGCACCCTCCTTCGCACTCACTTTCTTCGGACCCAGTGTTGGAAAAAAGAAGTATTGCAAAATAACTGCAAGCAAAAATGCGAGCAAAACACTGATGACTCCACTGCGAGCTAATCACTTAAATGGAACGAGTGAGTCACGGGATGCCGGGCGGGTGTTGCGACGTTCACTTGCGTTCGCAGCGCCAACTAGCGGTGGCGTATCTGAAGTTAGCTCGTAACCCGATTTTTAGCTTTCACTTCAAAGCAAAATATCGGTTGAGAGACGGCTCGTATCTCGAAAAACACGTTAGTTGGGGCACCCATAAGTCAAGGTACCACTATATATATATATATATATATATATATATATATATATATATATATATATATATCAACCACAGACAGACTGTTTCGCTGTTTCACAGCTCATCAGTGTGGCTAGACATCCGGTTGCGTCTAGCTAGGATCGAAACCCGACTGAATTGGTATCAGTCGGAGATTCTAACCATTAAGCCGTCGGTAGGGATGAAAGTGGATTTTTAGCGTATTTATTTTTAGAAACACATATGAAGAAATATGCTCTTAAGGTGTGCTATATTTATGGGATAAAGTGCTCAATATCAGAGATAGAGCGTGTGTAAATATGAAAGTGAACTTTGAAGAGGTGACAGGCCGTTTCATACTAGATGCAATAGTCATGCCACGAGTGTTGTTGCTTTTTTCTCGGCTATATACGGGTCAGTGGTGCATTGTGGATAGTCTATTTTACATAAAAAGTAATTTATTTTTAAATAAAATAAATTAAAATAAAATTTAATTTAAATATTTATATAAAAATCAAATCAAAAATTGGACGAAAAACATAGCTATAGCTGTTATATAACGATAAAAAAAATAAAAATAATACTACGTTATTTAAAAATCGAAAACCGAAAAGAGTAAATAAAAATATACAGTATAATAAATATATAATAAAAAGTAAAATAAATTAATCTAAATTAATCCAAATAAATAAACAAACTAACAAGCCGATCCCGATAAATTAACCGTTAAAAAAACAAGTAAATATAATCAATCCAATTAAATAAATGAAGTAATAAACAAATTAAGAACGGCTCCCGCTAAAATAATAGTCAGAATAAGCTACAGCAATCAACCTCAAAATTGAATAAATAGCTTTATCTTCCCAATGCAAGACAAAACTATTAAATAAGCGATATAAACACATTTTTACTACGTTAACACAGATTAAAATAAAAATAAATAAATATATGAGATAAGAAATAAAAGTAAAAAATGAAAATGAAAATAAAAATAAAAATAAATAAATAACGAGCAAAATAATTTCACCCAAATATATAAATAAATAAATAAACAAACAAATAAACGACTTCAGGCAAAATAACTGCCAAAATAGACTACCCACAATGCACCACTGACCCGTATATATAAATAGCCGAGAAAAAAAAACAACACTCGTGGCCTGACGATTGAATCTAGCATGAAAAATCCTGTCACGTCTGTGTTAACTGAAATGTTCACTTATATGTATATATATATTGAAGCAAGCGGATGTCTAGCCACATTGATGAGATGTGATACGACTTAAAGCAATACCATGGATAGATGTCCGCTATTTAGAAATTTCCTTAACGCCATTGGCGTTATATATTTTATCACTCTGAGGTTCTCAGCGACAACTAGCGGCAATATCTGAAGCTAGCTCGTAACCATAATTTTGTAACTCATTAGTTATTTGACTCGTAAATCAAGGCATCATTCTACATATATATATATATATATATATATATATATATATATATATATATATATATATATACAGAGAGAGAGAGAGAGAGAGAGAGAGAGATTTAATAGGCCGGTCAACAAAATTTGAAGAATAAAAAGCCAACAAAATGATGCCAATATTGTCAATAAAATTGATATTTAATGTATATTGACCTTTTGACAGTATTGAAGCACGAAGAAATAGATTTTAATGTCGGAATTTTCGAACACCTCTGTGTTCTTTTTCAACGCTACAAGATATCTTCTTAGAAAGGTTCTGGTTAGGGGTCACCCTCTGAAAATGATCTGAGTAAACCCCAAATCCCTGTTAAATCCCTCGATGTTTGAAAATAAATTTCAACTCCGATTTGCGTCATTCTTTTCGGCTGTTAAATGAAGACACTAAAAGCAGGCATCTGCTGTTATCGACATATGAAATGGTTCGTTAAAGTTTGCAGCGACAGGAATATCGTTGTTTCTGTCGACCCTGACGTTTTTTGTTTTTTTTTTTTTTTTTTTATGGTTACTGAGCCGAAGACGGAATTCCGTTCCAGTTTCTTCGACATAATTTCCTTTTTTGCATTTGTGGCAAAAACGCAAATATATAAGATTTGAACTGTCACTATTCAGAGCCGCTGGTTTGAGTACTCCGTGAGTGCTAGATATAAGAAATTGCTATCAGTGATGATATGTCGGCAGACTTGGCATAGAGGTTTATATGTCTGTTATATTATTTATATATGTATATATCCCAGTAGTACTGAGTCCGAGTTCAGCGATTGTCGGCGAATAGACCTTTATTTTCGATCTCTCTGGTCGACTTTCAAGAATGTAGAAATGGCCAAATCAGAAACGCGTCACATTGTCAGATGAGCTCCCATGTATACGAATTTTTAGACCGAAACTTTTTAAAAATTCGTATAACACTCATAGCTGCTGATTAACAAGACTGCAAGGGAAACACTGGAAGAAGAGATTGTGTGAAAAAGGGTTTAATCAGATGAAATCACATATTGAGAATACAGTAGCGATAAGCGTACAACTGAAAAGTGATACGCCTTTTGCCATTATTCCATGAGCAGACGTTCTACTCATAAGGATAGGTGAGTCTATATTTCATTAATGAATGTAGAGCTTAATCACTCATTCTACTAAAAAAAAAAACAAATACTATTGGATGATATTTCTTTTTTTTACTGATTTGTGTTACTAATATGAGATTCGTAGAATGCAAAAACGGCCTCAGCATTACAAAAAAAAAAAAGAAGATAAATGAAAGCTGAGAATTTATTTTACTTTTGTTTCACCCAATACAAGGCCGAAGAGCCACTCAAAGTAGAGGGTTATTGGGAGAGATTTTTGTAAGGGACGGGAAAGCAGGAAGTAATTTGTAAGGAGCGTTTGTAAGAGGTTGACGAAATGGAGAGCGGGAGTTTTAACAAAGGAAGAAAACTGCTAAGAGCCACACGAGATAGGAAGTTGTGGAGAGCTATGATCACCTATGTCTTGAAGGGTCCAGCACATAAAAAAAAGCTGGCCTTAAAACTTATTTCATGTGACTGGAGAATCACCTTAGAGATGAAGAAGCGAATTGAAGCAACAGAAATGTGGTTCTACAGAAGGATACTGAGGATACCATGGACTGAACATGTGTGCAAAAACGAGGCTTTGGAGAAAATGGAAACAAAAAGGAAACTTATGCTTGACATCAGGAAGCGGTAGTCGAAATTTCTGGGGGACGTAATGAGGAAGGAAAGCTTGGAAAATCTGATACTCACAGGCAAGATTGAGGGGAAAGAGGGATAGAGGAAAGCAAAGTAAATGGATGGTAGAACAGGGTTTGGGAGAAATAACAGACAACACAGAACTTATTAAGGACCGGAAGATGTGGAGGGCCATCATCTCCTATGCCTTGAAGTGACACGGTACATAAAAGAAGATATGCGTGTAAGCAATCCGGATTACTAAGCGAATCGTAGAGTTCTCCTCGGCGCTACTGGTCGATATTCGAGTTCGAGAAATGGTCAGAATTTAGGATGTTGATTCTAAGGCATGCTCACCTTAAATTGTCTGATTTGGGCAAACCAAATATCCCTGCACGTTTGTTTCTGCTTTACAAATAACAAACATTTTCTTAAACTTCCGTCGCAGAATGGTGGCTTCAATCGTGAAATGTTACATTTAACCAAATTGCTCACAACCAACCATTTTCTGCGATCGCAAACCCTACCGCCCTCCTCTGCCTCTACCCATACGCCAACTCGGCATACCATCCTCGGCGACCCATCCCCTCTCCACGACCATCACAAGCAAGAAAGCTTCTACGAATTATGCCGTAGCCAGTGGCGATCGCAATAACAAGAAATATGTGCACAAATCCATTAACTACCTCATAGTGGACTTGTCTTTTACGTTTGTGGTGTAAGTAGCATTTTAGCCACTGGTCACATGAAGGCGAAAGCTGTCCGCCAGTCTCCTATGTCCCAGCCGTTCAGGTCAGATGCGGTCAGCCGGTCCATCAGATTATGTGACCTCTATATTCAATTAATGGTAAAATGGAAAATCTTGTCGCGGCCAACACGGGCGCACAGTTCTTCGGCAATTTCCGCGGTACCATGTGACTGTGGGTGTGGGTGAAGGGGACGACCAATTTATTCTAGCCAATTTCTCCGTTTATTCGTCCTTTTTTTTTTATTATTTCTTCCTTTCTGACAAATCTCTGTACCCCTGTTTGCATCTCCTGTACATTCTTTCTTTCTTTCTTTCTTTCTTTCTTTCTTTCTTTCTTTTTATCATTTTTCTTCTTTATTCTTTCCATCTTTCTTCTTTGTCTTCCCCGGAATCATTTTCATTGATTCTTTCTTTCTTTCTTTCCTTCTTTCTTTCTTTCTTTCTTTCTTTTAAATCTATGACCTTTCTTCATCGGTGTCATTTTCATTCATTCATTCATTCCTTCTTTCTTTCTTTCTTTCTTTCTTTCTTTCTTTATTTATTTATTTATTTATTTTCTTTCCTTCTTTCTTCTTTGTCTTCCCCGAAATCATTTTCATTGATTCTTTCTTTCTTTCTTTCTTTCTTTATTTATTTATTTATTTATTTTCTTTCCTTCTTTCTTCTTTGTCTTCCCCGAAATCATTTTCATTGATTCTTTCTTTCTTTCTTTCTTTCTTTCTTTCTTTCTTTCTTTCTTTCTTTCTTTCTTTTAAATCTATGTCCTTTCTTCATCGGTGTCATTTTCATTCATTCATTCCTTCTTTCTTTCTTTCTTTCTTTCTTTCTTTCTTTCTTTCTTTCTTTTTTTTCTTTCATTCTTTCTTCTTTGTCTTCCCCGAAATCATTTTCATTGATTCTTTCTTTCTTTCTTTTTTCGTTCTTTCTCTCGTTCTTTCTTTTAAATCTATGTCCTTACTTCATCGGTGTCATTTTCATTCTTTCTTTCTTTCTTTCTTTCTTTCTTTCTTTCTTTCTTTGGTCGTTTGCCTTCCCCGGTATTATTTTCATGATTCATTCATTCTTCCATCTGTCTAATTAATCTTTCTTCTTTTCTTACAAATCTCTGTCCCTATGGTTTTCGCAATATCATTCTCATTCATTCATTGATTCTTTTTCTTTCTTTCTATATATCCTTTTTCTTTTTTTTTCCACGTGTATTGACCTTTTTCTGTTACATCTATCTTTCACATTTACTCTCTCTCTCTCTTCTCCCATCTCCCCTTTTTGTTGATCCCTCCCCAAATCTTTTATTTTTTTTTTCTCTTCCCTCCCCTCTTCTTCTCCCCTTTTTTAATTTTCTCTCTCTCTCTCTCTCTCTGGCATACCTTAACATTTTTATACTTGGCAATTAATACCCTTTTGCTATCACTATCACACCTCTTCCTTTCACTCTTTTTTCTGGTACAACTCCTGTACATTCTTTATTTCTTTCTTTCTTTTTTCTTTTTATCCTTCTTTCTTTCTTTCCTTATTTCTTTCTTTTTTTCTTTCCTTCTTTCTTCTTTGTCTTTCCCGAAATCATTTTCATTGATTCTTTCTTTCTTTCTTTCTTTCTTTCTTTCTTTCTTTTAAATCTATGTCCTTTCTTCATCTGTGTCATTTTCATTCATTCATTCCTTCTTTCTTTCTTTCTTTCTTTCTTTCTTTCTTTCTTTCTTTCTTTTAAATCTATGTCCTTTCTTCATACATGTTATGCTATCATTCTTTCTTTCTTTCTTTCTATTTTTTACTTTCCCTTTTATCTTTCTTCTTCCTCTCTGTCTGTCTCTCTGCCTGTTTTTCTTTCATTCTCTCTCTGTCTCTCTCGTTTGTCTCTCTTTCTCATGATTACTTCTCTGTTTCTGATATGCTGTTACATGCTGAGACTTATTCCCGACCACTCAGTCACTCTCTCTTTCTCTTTCTCCCTTTCATTATGTTTGATTATGTAATCATTCGTTTATTCACACTTCCTCTCTTTTGCCTCTCTCTATCTTGTCCAACTTATATACACATATCTCTCCCATCCCACACGCATTTATTTTCTGTCGTACTTTTTTCTCATTCGTAAGCTTTTCATATTCTATTTTGTCTCTTTTTCTTTCATTCTTTCTTTCAGTTTGCCTTTCATTTCTCATTCATTCTCTTTCTCTTCCCCCTCTCTCTCTCTCTCTCTCTCTCTCTCGCTCGCTCGCTCTCTTTCTTGTGATTCGTTTTCTCATTTGATTTCTTTCTTTTACCCACTCGCTGTCACTGTCTGTTATGATTATCTTCCACTCATACACGCACTCTCTCTCTCTCTCTCTTTACCCCCTCTCTATCTCTCTTTCTCTCTCTCTTTCTTTCTCTCTTTCTTGTGATTCGTTTTCTCACTTGATTTCTTTCTTTTACCCACTCGCTGTCACTGTCTGTTATGATTATCTTCCACTCATATACGCAATCTCTCTCTCTCTTTTATAAACTCTCTCTCTTTTTTTTCTCTCTCTCTCTCCCTCTCTCTCTCTCTTTTAATCTCTCCTCTCTTTCTCTCTCTCTTTCTTGTGATTCGTTTCTCATTTGATTTCTTTCTTTTACCCACTCGCTGTCACTGTCTGTTATGATTATCTTCCACTCATACAAAAAAAATCTCTCTCTCTCTTTAAAAATCTCTCTCTTTCCCTCTCCCCCCTCTCTCTCTTCTATTTTTGTTTTCCGTTTTTCTTGCTTTCAGTTTAATGTTATGCTATCATTCTTTCTTTCTTTCTATTTTTTACTTTCACTTTTATCTTTCTTCTTCCTCTCCGTCTGTCTCTCTGCCTGTTTCTTTCTCATCTATTTTCTGTTTGTTTCCCGCTTTTTCTGGTATTATTTTTCTTCTTATCATTAATTCTTTCTTTCTTTTTTTCTTTCTTTCTTTCTTTCTTTCTTTTTCTTTCTTTCTTTCTTTCACTTCCTTTCTTTTTTAACCCCCTCCTTCTATCTATCTCTCTATTTGACATGGATCTGAATTAATATTTCACTAATACTCGTTCTTCATTAACTTTCTATATCTTGTCCAAATCACACTCCTTCATTCTGATATCAGCTAATTTTTATTACTCTCTCTCTCTCTCTCTTTCTCTCTCTCTCTCTCTTGATCTTTTCTATCTCTGTCTCACATTTTCTCTCACTCTCACTCTCTCTCTCTCTACCCCCCCCGTGTTTCTTCTCTATCTCTCTTTTCTCTTCTCTTGATTGCTTTTCTTTCTCTTCATGACTTTTTCTTTACATATTTTATTCCTTCTTATCATTCTTTTATTTTTTTATTCTATTAACATCCGCTCTCTCTCTCTCTCTCTCTTTTATCTTTTTCTCCTTACTGTCTTTTTTTTTATGTCTCTTTCTTTTTTGCATTTAGAAAGAGAGCAATGGCTACTCTGACGATTACAACTCAATTTGATCCGCACCAGGTGCCCAATCAAAAAAAAAATTCGATATTAAAAACAAAACAATGGTTGGCGTGGCATAACATTAATTTACAAACGTCTTTCATTCTGAAAAAAAAAACTTTATACAAACACATATATATATGTATGTAATATATTTACATTATTCGGACTATTGTTCTCATCTTTTTTAATTGATTTTATCACAACGTTTCGGCCGTTGGGCGCTCTGGCCTTCTTCAGGTGATTGAAACGTCGAACTGAACCCTTTATTTCGCTCGCTGGGGTAGACTGTTCTAGTTCTACGTGCCATGTCTAATGGATGTCAATTATCAGTTATCTCCTGTTAATTTACCTCTCCAAGTTCTCCACAACCTTAACCAGGCATTGAACTCACAACACTTTCGATCCTGTCACCAACGCCTTTATCCACTCTGGCATGTATCCTTAACTATAACTAGTGAAATAAAGGGTTCAGTTCGACATTCCAATCACCCGAAGAAGGCCGGAGCGTACAACGGCAAAAACGTTGTAATAAATATGGCAACAAAACTGAGGACAATAGTCCGAATAAGGTAAATAGTGTACATAATACCTCATCTCAGAAATATAGACAGATATATATATGGAATATTAGTGTTGTCTTTTCTGTTTTCTTTTTATGTGATTTTTAATCTTTTGAATTGGAATCGTATTTACGATTCCAATGGAATAAATTATGACCATGGAATATTAGTATTTAAGCCTTTTTATTATATATATTTATATATATATATATATATATATATATATATATATATATATATATATATATATATATATATAGTTAAATTCAGATGAATCATTATTTTCTTATTTTTTATTGTCGACATGGAAAAAAAAATAAATAATAATAATCCTTACTATAAAGGTAATTTACATTAACCAGAAAAAAGGCTTAGACACAAGCGTCTATTTTTTTAATTTTGAATTTTAATGTAACTATAACAAAAACATTTCGATTTCATTTTTGCCTTGAAAAAGTCGGAAGACGAAACGCGTCGGCAAAATGTATGATTTTTTTCCAATTGTCATTTGATACCATATATATATATATATATATATATATATATATATAAATATAAAACATTATATAGCATATAATTTATATACAAAGAAATAATCACATAGAATCAATCAGAAGTATTAATGCGATTATTGGCGACATCCATCGCTAGAAAAACATAATATATGCATTAAAAATACTGTTCATCCATAGTGCGAGTTTGATCCTCATCGATAAACTTGATGTCTGTAGTTTTCAGTTTATTTGATGTTAAAATGCTAGTACTTACGAATAGTCTTCTATTCATCATCAGGCATGTGTTTTTTTCCTTATAAAATCAAAAACTTGAAGACGATATACCTGTATGTCGACCGAAAGATGTTTTTGAATATCTGCTATTATTGACGGTTGTGTAAGATCTCGGAGCGTGCAAAGACGCAACGCTAAGTTTTTCAAAATTTTAAGTGAGAATTTTATTTAAATATTTCTTGTGATGTGTTAAATCCACGTATTCTATTTTTACAAGTGTATTCAGTTTCTATGTCTTGAACTAAGTATATAGTTCAATAATATAGTGTAATGTCTTAGTAGTAGATTTTTTTATAGGAATTTTTTATGTACTGCGGATCGATAGTTTTTATAAACATAAAACATTAGGCAGCATATAATTTACATACAAAGAAACAATCACACATAGAATCAATCAGAAGTATTAATGCGATTATTGGCGACATCCATCGCTAGAAACATAATATATACATTAAAATACTGTTAATCCATAGTGCGATCCAGGGCAATATACTTAAGAAACAATAAAATCCAAAATCACTTCATATAGTGAATAGTCTATTTCGGCAGACGATATATATATATATATATCTTATCATATACCGGTGTCATATATGCTAGAAATTTAACTGTAAAAAAAAAAAAAAAAAAAAAAGAGAGAAAAAATATCACCAGTCGAAAAACTAATAGAAAATTTATCCATTTTAATGTTACAGTCAGACGAAAGTCACGAAACAAGGGTCAGGAAAGGTTGAAAGTATTTGTCTTAAAAGGAAGAAGTTTTATAAAATGAAACCCGGATATTAACCTTATGACATTAATTTGAGGTTATATGAAGAATGAAATATTAATGCAAAATTAAAAGAGGAATAAAAAGGTGTTTAAAAAGAACTTTAAAATATATACGTAAAATGATGTAAGGGGTTAAAGGAAAGAGATTTGGGGAAATCTTAAGAATGGGGAAACGTTTATAAATTATAATTAATATAGATAAAGGGGTTACAGAAGGGAACATATAGAAATAAGAATTACTTATACTTTCGACGTTTGAAGAGTTAGAGAGGAGTAAATATTATGGAAATATAGCAGCTAATTAAGTTAAATCTATATTATTGAAATTTGAATTTGTTTTTATGGTGACATTTTAACACTAATTCATTCCTCTGATTCAATATTGGCTTTTATATATATATATATATATATATATATATATATATATATATAAGGTATGTTTAGGCAGAAAATATTCATTTAATCAACTTTGATTAAAAAAAACGCGACAAAGTCAGAGCTTTAGAAACTCATATTATACAAAATAAACCAAGCACATTAAATGAGATATCATTAAACACGGGAAATTGTATCTTAAAGTGTATATGATTAATTAAATTAATTAATCTAATTGAATAGGGCACATATTTTATTATAATAATAAAAAAAAAACAGATGAAATAAAATAAGAATAAAAAATATGAATATGAATAAAAATTTAAATTTAATAAATAAATAAGTCGTAATCATTTTGTGCGGCCTCGTTCCCAATAGCCGTCACTCTACTATGACGTCACTCTAAACCATTTCAAACATCCAGCTTCCTGAAAAAAATCAGGATGGTGTCAAAGGAATTCTAACTACCGCACAGACACCACATCGGTTCTTGATAATGGCTGCAAAAGTCGAAATTATTTGAATAAAAATAACAAAAATATGAACTACTGACAACTTATCCACAGCTTCGAGCACAAGACTCAACGCATGAGAAAAATGGAAAAATATTAAAAAAAACATTAAACAGACACATCTCGTCAGTTCTTTTTAATCAAACTAGATAGATAGATAGATAGATAGATAGATAGATAGATAGATAGATAGATAGATAGATATGAACAGATTAGATAGATAGATAGATAGATAGATAGATATGAACAGACTGAGATAGATAGATAGATAGATAGATAATTTTAGATAGATAAACTGATAGATAACGAAAACAAGACTGATTATAAAAGGAATGAGAGGAACAGATAGATAGATAGATAGATAGATATGAACAGATTGAGATAGATAGATAGATATAAATAGATAGATAGATAGATAGATAGATAATAGATAGATATGAACAGATAAGAGATAGATAGATAGATAGATAGATAGATAGAAGAAAAAGAGTAGGATGGATAGATAGATAGATAAATAGATAGATAGATAGATAGATAGATAGATAGATAGATAAATGCCAGATATGGGATAGATAGATAGATAGATAGATAAATAGATATAGAAATAGATAGATAGATATGATAAGATAAAAATAGATAGATAGATAGATAGATAGATAGATAGATAGATAGATAGATAGATAGATATGAACAATATAATGACGTTGATAATAGATAGATAGATAGATAGATAGAATGAAATAGATAGAACAGAGAATTAAAAATGAGAGGAATGGATAGATAGATAGATAGATAATGAAATGAACAGATTGAGATAGATAGATAGATAGATAGATAGATAGAAAGATAGATAGATAGAATAGATAGAATCCACCTGAATTAAGATAGATAGATAGATAGATAGATGATAGATAGATAGATAGATAGATAGATATGAAAAAACACAGACTGAGATAGATAAAAATAGATAGATAGATAGATAGATAGATAGATAGATAGATAGATAACAAATTAATGAGAACAGAGAAGAAAGGAAAGGAAAATTTAGATAGATAGATAGATAGATAGATATGAACAGATTGAAATAGATATTATATATAGATAGATAAATAGATAGATGTCTGATTGAATAAATTACTGACATTATGTCTGATAATTTTTAACAAAATCCGTTCATACTCACGAATAACCTTCTGTGTATTGATATTAAAGGGGTTGAGAGAAATATGCTCTAGGTGTTTAAATTTCTGTTATTTTCATTTTTCAAGTACTTTCGATTTTTTTCTAAGATCATCTTCAGGGGTGCAAGTAATACAAAACTATATGCTGTTCATTAATATCAGTATTTATACAGAATTGTGCATTGTTATCCATTGCCGTAATTTTTTCATTATCCTTTTAAATGCAAAACGGTTGACAATGTGCTGAGCGTTCATTAGAACGTGAAAGAAATTATCCATTATAGAAGTTTTTCATTGTGTTATAATGTCGTGGTCACGCGCATTAAAGACTGAAAAAACTGTCCCTTTACAAGTATTTCAGAACATTGCTGCAGTATTCATAGTTGATTCTGTTCAGTGCTGGCTTTAATTTTTTAATATAAATTGCTTCTAGTATCTGTAATCTAATTTTGTTTTTTTCATGGTGTAGGATAGTAGTGTTGTCGATTAATTTTTATATTGTGAATGTGGACGGGAATGTTGTTATATATGTCTCGCAATGGACGAATGGTCGTAATCGTAGAGAGCTATAAACGCTCACGTCCTGAAGGATCATGATACATACAAGATCGATAATTATATATAGGTATATAGATATTGAGAATAATAGATTAATTTAAATGTTCATTTATCTTGTATAAAAGGTCAGAGTTTCATGAAATTACATACACGAAAGAAAGAGGGTTCGTCATAACATCGCAATTTGGGAGGAAATATAATATTTGTTATATATATATATATATATATATATATATTCTGATAAAAGATCATTTAAATCCCTTCTCTTTATCCTTTTCCTAATCAAGTCTCTTTACTCTTGTTTCCACTTTCTTTAACCTCAAATAGTTTATAAAAATCAGAAAATATTATTGAAATGTAAACACACACACACATAATATTATATATATATATATATATATTATATATATATATATATATATATATATATATGTGTGTTTATAATGTGTGTGTATGTGTATTTGTGTGTGTGTGTGTGTGTGTGTTTGAAATAAAAAATTTAAAATTATGTTAAAAATTAAAATTTCAGGCATTCTGGGTTGTGTATTAATATTTTTGTTTTATTTTTTACAATTAGGTTTCTTCGACTAGTTTCGACCAGCATGGCTATCATCAGGAGAAATAATTTTTGCATGTTATAGCAGTGAACTACAGAGGTAAATGACTGTCTCTGAAGCAGCTGAAATTTGCCTGTAGTTTTCATTTTTTTTTTTTTTTTCGTTAATTTTTGGTCAGTCCTTGCATTGGTCAAAGGCCTTTTTCAAGTTGTTTTTGGCTGAGATATTCATGAGTATCTTACCTCCTTAGTCATTTTGACAGCTTTCTTTGTTTCAGAGAAAAAATATGTGTTTATGTATTTTAGCTTTTTCCATCTTTTTTTGGTGGTGGGGCAGTGTGTGTGTGTGTGTGTGTGTGTGTGTGTGTGTGTGTGTGTGTGTGTGTGTGTGTGTGTGTGCGCGTATATATTTTCTTGGGTGTCAGTATGTGGGAGACCTCATCATCTCTTCAAGCATGTCTGTTTACTGTGGTTGAAGATGAAAAGGGTTAGGGGAGGCAACTTGAGCCTTTCATGTGTTTTGTCCTTCTCTTTGTAATAACAGCAGAGTATATTCAACTACGAAGAGATTATAATATGGGAGAAAGAAATATAGGAGTTGGTGTGATCGATGGGGTTATCTATTAATTGTATCTGTGCTGTTTAGTTTGACGTTAAATCCTCCAAGACAAAGTGATTTCAGGCGCAAATTCCATTTGTCTTCATGTTCTTCTAGTACTTTGCTAAGTTTATCTTTTGTGTCTATTTCTATTCTCTCAATAATAGTGAATTTTGCATGGCCATTAAAATCATTTTTCTGAACGGAAATGTTGTTCTACAGGTAATAATCTTTCCGTTTATATTATATTATATATATATAAATATATTCAGATTTTCCCATATATTGCTTCTAAATATAAATAAATTCTAACAAGTAAAATATATATATATATATATATATATATATATATATATATATATATATATATATATATAATTATTTATTTATCTAAAATTATAACATAAATATTTTATAAAATCACTACAAAAATAGCCATTTTGTTTCAACACCTTCAGTGTCTTATCAAGTGATTATCTTGAATGTAGAATAAATGGTTTTAAAGATTTCAAATTAATTAACTATCCTCAGCAAGGGGAAGATGATATTACAAAAGCTAGAATGACCAATCATAAAACACAAGTATAGGAGAATTCAAAAAACTTGACAATGAAGTAAAATTATAATAGCTATTAAAAAAAAAAGTTGGGGTTATACTAAAATAGAATTTTTTTAACCAATAAGTATTAAATTATATGATAAAATTTGATATTAAAATTAAAAATAAAAAAATTACCAATTTTAAAATCTAAATTTAATCTCTATTAAGTTTAAAATTATAAAATTACTGAGGAGAAAAGAAAAAAATACATATGTTATTCAATTTATTTTTTCATTGAAATTACGTTAGAATAGACGCTAATATCGGTTGGTCTTCCTGACAAAATGTATACATTTTAATTCCAAGTGTGTGAGCGGGTTTGCTATATTAAAAAAAAATTATATATATATATATATATATATATATATATATATATATATATATATATATTCTAATAAGTAAATTATATATATATATATATATATATATATATATATATATATATATATATATATGATAGAATTAAAACAAGTAGGAAATGGACGTTAATCTAACATGTTTCAACGATTATTATAGCTTCGTCAGAGAAATCAACATAGATTAAGATTTGTTTCCTGCTTGTTCTTTATCCTATCATTTTGTCAAATTTCTATCCATACCTGCTCTCTTTATTTCTCTCTTAATGTATTTATATATATATATATATATATATATATATATATATATATATAAACTGACTCTCCCTTTATTGTTCGACGTATGAGGGTCAGGCAGATAATCTTCAGGAAACCGACAGCCCGACACCGGCACATGAGATTTGATTATAGTGGTGAAGGCCTCGTGCAGGACCAGCCACACTTTTTGGAGGGACGAATACAGAAACCTGGTGCACCGAATGCCACAAGGTTCCCAAACGACCCTCCGCAGGTTTTGAATTCAGAGTTGTCCTTCTTCTAGACCAGTTGCCATCCAAGGCTATAGAACCCAGTCTCTCCTGCTATTTTACCCATAGCTGGAGGGAGAAGAAGAGGATTCATACCTTTCCCAAGGGTATTAGCACGTTATTTGAATGTTTTATTCGATTGGAATATGAACCATATATATATTTAAATTTGATTTCAGTAAGTTTTACAATCCGGTGTTCTTAGTAATTATTTTTATTTAAAAAAATAGTGCTTGATACAAAACAGTAGAGCATAATATTGTGATTATTTTCTATTTTAAAACTATGGTTAATTAAGTTACTGTTGTACTGAAAACTTAGAAATGTTTATTAAGAGATATAATGCTAATATCTTGTATAAACACTTAGAGTAAAATAGATCCTAAAGTAAAAAGAAATTAAGATAAGTTAATATTATGTAACTGTAGAAATCTTCAAACTGCCCTCTTAATAATAAATGCTGTATAGAAACATTGGTTTATCAATGCGCTATTTCATCTATTGAATATCCAAACAGAGTTAAAATCTACATTGGATTCACAAAACATGATTTCAAATGAAACTGGAACCAACATAAAATGTTCTTTAAAAATATTAATAAATATAGAAATCAAACCTCCCTATCTAAATATTTTTGGCACTTAAAAGAAACCAATAAAACACCAACAGTTAAACAGAAATTAATAAGAACAGCTAGACCTTGTAGGTCATTAAATGACCCTTGTTCTTTGTGCATACATGAAAATTATACACTATTAAGTTTCTGAAAGATAAAAATTTACTTAATCAATGAAATGAAATAGCTATTTCTTCAGACACTGGCAAATATTTTCTTTAAATAATACTTAATTTTGAAAAATAGACGAAAAATGGAACATACATATTTATAATTGATTTTTGAATAATATTTTTTTTTTAAATACGAATATAATTCTATAATTCTAATATAGTTATTTGTAAAAAGTAAAGGATCGCCTATTAGTTACTAGAATTAGAAAGGTACTTTAAATTTCTAGGAACAGATTTTAAATATTAAAGATGCGAATTAGTCATATTAAGAAATCATTGTAAAATTATAAATTAAGCGGCTAAATAAAAATGCAAAAAAAATGTTATCATTGAAAACCCAGACGACACGCGAGAAACGGATGTCATTGTTCGTGAGCAGGCACCCCGACCCAACCTTGACTTAACCTGATTTTGAAAGTAACTTCTATTTGATATATAAGTTGTCTAGGGAATTTAAAACCCAACTAACTCTTATAAAAATGACTGAATTTTCCGTCACCTTAACAATATAAAATATTAAGATTGCCTGTGCTCATAAATGAAGTAAATTTCTTAATAGGTTATTCCAAAAATCGTTTGAGAATGGAACGAAGCTATTGATTTTAAAATTAATTTTATAATAAAATTTAAAGATTTAGTTTCAATTCTGGAAAAATGGTAATTCCTATGTAGCGATGGAACCATATTTTTTAAATATCATAATTTTAAAAAATATATATATATATATATATATATATATATATATATATATATATAATTAATATTTAATAATAAACATAATTTTAACACTTACACTTTTCTACAGTCATCTTCGGCATTGATGTAATATTCAGTGGATTTCTGCTGACCCTAAGTGATACAAACAGAGATCCTTATTATATCTATCTCTGATATTGAGCACTTTATTCCATAAATATAGCACACCTTAAGACTATATTTCTTCATATATATATATATATATATATATATATATATATATTTTTATAATTATTTTTTATTTTTGCCATTATATATATATATATATATATATATATATATATATATATATAAAACTGAGAGGGAAAATCAAAGTATTGATATAACCAACAAAAAGAGTCTGCCAGATCAAAAGAAAGGCGGAAATAAACCACAAATAAGACAAAAAAACGAATGAAAAACGATAAAAGAAAAGGGAAAAAAAACATTTTGAATATAAAATCAAGGACCAAAAGACATTGCTTTATGTTTACTATTTTATCAAGACTTTTCTTTCCACTATCTTTTAGGAGTTGTTTTATTATAAATATGTTTTGCAAGAAATTATTCCGGTTTATTCTGGTTTCACAAATACCACGATTCGTCAGGCGACCAAATTCGCAATGAATAAAAATGTTCACGGATAAAAATTTATGCGAAATTTGAATTAATTCTGGGATTGAAAAAAAGTCCTTGAACAGTATTCGCCTACGTGGAGCAAAAAGAAAATAAGTAAAAAAAAAAGCACTTAATATTTCCACAATTTTAGAAATTTAGTTATTTGTGTCCGGGCGACTAACTGAATAATGGGAACAGAATCACGAATCTGGGTGCGAATGGCACAAATTGGGCTTAATTCTATACCTACATCTACAAAGTAAGTTAATGATTGACTGCTTGATTTGTTTGTTTAATGGCATATCAACTCCTTTATGGGTCATTTAATGTCGTTATTTTTTGTTTTGTTTTTTGGAGTGCTTTGAAGTAATTTATTAATTTTACTATAAACAGGCATTGTTGGTCATTTTTACTATAAAACATTTATTAGCTAAAATTTCATATTTATAAAAAAATTTTTTTATACTTTCATAGTGTTATGGTTTTGTTTGGAATTCAATAGTTTAAAACCCTTTGTCTGCTACATACGTTTTTTTTCAGGCTGGAATTCATTAGAACAACAGTCTATTAAAAGTTGGTTCCAAGGAAACCCACTCTTCCGAAAACAGGCCTTGCTGCCGGTTTGTGGTTTAAACGTCATAAATTAAAATTTAACGTTAACTTAGACGTTTTATTTAACTAACGTCGCTACTCAGCTTTAATATAGTTAACATTTCTTCTAAGCATCGCTCCTCCTTTTGTACTTCTTTTTAATTTCCAATCTTGTCAACCACTGCTAAGTACGCTGCATGTGTAAATAAGTAATACTGCGCGTGTCTAAAAAATTAGAAAAACAAAAGCTTTAAAGGAAGGATGTTTCCACAGGCACGACGAATAGCCACGAGAAAGGCCAATAGATACTTACAGTTGCACTCGACCTTAGAGAAGAGTAAGGTCGGAGATAAAAAGATCACGTGTGATTTTTCAAGCATTAGCAACATTTCATATTCAGAAACACCGATAACCATCGACTTGGAGGATAGATAGCACCGATGATCGCTAGCTTGGAGGATAGAAAGCACGATCATCGTCAAATTTAATAATATTGTTCACTGCTGGCTTGGAGGATAAGGAATTTGATCATCGTTGAATCGGAGGATAAAAACCATAATTAATTGTCGACTTATTTTGATATCAAATAAAATGACTAAGAATCTTTTTAATAAGAAAAAAAAACATTTAATGCTTGGAGGATAAATTTATCAAACGCCGGCTTGGAGGATAAACACCGATCACCACCGCCTTGGAGGATAAGCACCGATCACCGCCGGCTTAGAGGATAAGCACCGATCATCGGCGACTTGGAGGATAAGCACCCATCAAGCACCGGCTTGGAGGATAAACATCGATCACCGTAGGCTTGGAGGATAAGGAGCACCGATCATCGTGGAATCGGAGGATAAAAACCACCGATAATTGTTGACTTGAATGATAGCAAGCACCGATGACCACCGTCTTGGCGGATAGACATACACACATATATATAGGCTTGGATATATATATATATCACCGCCAGCTTGTTTAAATAATAAAAATATTAAAAAATTAAATTTTTTAGACACACTGGGTTTTATATTAATATTTTTTGTTTTATTATTTCAGTTAGGTTCCTCGACTAGTTTCGGCCAGCATGGCCATCATCAGGAGAAAAAAATCCCTGCTTGTTAATAGCAGTGAACTACTGAATAACTGTTTCTGAAGAACGTGAACTTTATCTGTAGTTTTCTTTTGTTTTTTATCGTTAATTTTGGCTAGTCCTTGTGTTGCTCAAATGGCCTCTTTCAAGTTGTTTTTAAGATAGAGGATGAGAGATTCCTGACTTTAAGAATTCCCTCCTTTGTCATTTTGACAGTTTTATTGGTTGCTGGGAATGGGATGGATATGTTAAGTGTATGTTATCTTTTAGTTCTTTGGAAGTGTGTATGATGCGTTTATGTGTATATATTAATATGAGTGTGACTATAAGTGTTAAACATCAACACCACTGCAAGCATGTCTGTCTTGTGTTGGTGAGAAATGTGGACAGGGCTTAATTTATTGTGTTATATATTAATTCTATCTATGTTGTTAAATTTGTGGTTAAGCCCGTCTAGACGAAGTGTTTTGAGGCGCAAAATCTATTTGGCTTCATATGCCCCTAGTATTTTTCTAAGGTTATCTTTTCTGTCTATTTCTATTTTTTTTCAATTATAATGAACCTTGCATGACTTTTAAAATCATTTTTTCTAGACGGAAATATTGTTCTGCAGGTAATAATCTTTCGTGGGGAACCGACATGAAACGATTCCGATAATTATTAATTCTGTAGTGAAAGGGCCATTAAGATTTTCCGATATATTTTTCTGACATACTGTGCATTCAAATAGATACACAATGTTATTAGACTTCTACAGTTAGAGTTGTGGTAGATTTTTTATATTTAATATATATATATATATATATATATATATATATATATATATATATATGTTTCTAACATTTTACATTTTTTTTTTTTAGGACTAAGGAGTGCCATAAAAAACGTCTCGATCCCTACAAACAACTGCCTGTCTCCATTAGAAAAAATTCTGGTTGATAACACCATTATTCTAAAGAAATCTGTCTGCCGGCGGCGAATAAAAATTATCGAGGCTTTTTATATATAACCATTCAAGCAGAGCATCAACCAAATGTGTTGCAGGTCATCTAAGAAGACACCCCAACACAAAGATCATGGCCGCTCTTTCTCGGGTTTATCTAAGATTACTGATACGTCTACGCAATGCAACTTAAAACATAGGCATAGGAAAATATCAACGGATCTCCCATGAAAATGTATAATGAAATTGTCAAAGATGCTTGGTATAATAATAATTACGTACAGTTTCGGCACTCCCTCAGCTGATAAAAATACTATAAGTACATTAGAAAAACTTACTAAAAGACTTATAAGACTGTCCTAAGTAAATAAACAATATTCATATATATATGTATGTGCGTGTGTGTGAATGTGTGTGTGTGTGTGTACATTTATATAATATTTAAAATAACATTAAACACCGTTTATGCATAATATAAAATATAAAATCCGAATTTAAATAAAAATTAATACTTTATATATAGTTTCAAGTCTGTCTATTTTAATATATTTATTAAATTTATTGATCAAATTACACAATTTAAAAACAAATTTGAAGGTCATTCTGTTCTCAAATTTACATTAGAACTTATTATTAATAATAAAATTTCCTTCTTTGATACACTTCTTGAATCCAGCACACATAAATTTACAACATCTATATATTGAAAACCCACTAGCATTAAATCGCGTCTTCTTAATTATAATAGTGGATGCCCCAAAGATATAAGCTGTTATAAAAAAAAATTAATCTAACACACGCAAATGATATCTTCTTCCGAAACCATATATATATATTAAGAAATGGACAAGGTCCGACAATTTATTTATTAAAGACATTTTTATGTTTAAAAATTTTAATGTTTAATTTCTCGGACATTCAGGCCGGTAAATGTTATTTAATACTGTTTATTATAAACAGAGCATTTACTTAAATACTTGTATCTATAAAAAACAACGTTAAACATAAAAATGTCTTTTAATAAATATATATATACCCTTTATATATTTTCTCTGCTATATATAATATATATAATTTTTTATATTAGTGATATTCAGGCTGGCACTACTAGTCCAGGAACATAATTTAAATAACAAAACAAAAATATTATATAAGCCAGTGTGTCTGAAATTTAAATTTTTATATCATTCAAGACATATATATAGGTTCTTTAATAATTAGATTTCACGTCAGGTATATGAAATTCCGTATAGGATGCAGGTTCGAATCTTTTCAAAGAACGAATATTTTCTATGAAAATTTCTCATATATATATATATATATATATATATTGTATTATTATTATTACATTATTCATAATGTTGATGAAGGGTAAATATGGGTAATTTGATTTGGTTTTGTTTTGTTTAACGGCATATCATCTACTTATGGATCATTTAATGCCGAAATTTAATTTTCTTGTGACATTTGCTAATGTATTCGCATTGTTTTTTATTTTCCTTTTTTTTAATATATTGCAATAATTTGTTTTTGATATAATAATACGTTTCCTTTTAATCTTTGAATAATCAAATTTTAATAATTTTTTATTTTAATCCTTTCAAATTCATTTGATCAATTTCCTATATGTTGTTATATATTCTAATTAAGAATGACGCCGTTGTATTTTCATATTTTTCATTTTGAATGTTTACTTTCAATATTTCCAATTGAAGCTTTTGGGGTAATTTGGTTTTTTCTAAAAATTTATTGTTACAAATTGATAGTTATATTATTTTTTTAGTTAAATGCGTGGATTTAACGCACTAAGTTTTGAGCTAATTTAACTTTAAAAATGTAAGGAATAATGTTACTTCATATTTTTTATAATTGCTAATGTTTTAAAATACTCAACCTGCAATTTTTACTTTTTTTTTTATTTTATTCCATCCGAAAACATTGCTTTTTATAATTTATTTTAAAGTTTATAATTTCAGATTTTTTCTTTTTCGTCTTTTTCGTTTCTGTCTTTTTTAATGGACTTTGTTCCTCCTTTCTTATGCTTATCTTACTTTCGCTTTCTCATTCACTATATTCCTTTCACCTTCTTTGTCTTTCTCCCTCCTTCTCTGTATGCGTGTATTTGTACACAAACAAACACACACACAATATATATATATATATATATATTAACCTCGATAATCTTCAATTCTAATGCTTTCAACAAAACACTATTCGCAGATTCCCGTCCTCCGGGCATCCATGCTCTTGACCTCATCCACTGTCCGAACAAACATCGTCCAGTCGGCCGTGATGAAGAAATCAATCTTGAAAATTGTTAGTATCTAAATCGCCTTCCATCCAGTTCATTTTGCCATTGAAAATCATCAAAAAAAATGGCATCCTGAGGCGTTTTTGCTTTGTTTTTTTCATTGGCTGTTTTTATTGTCACGTGACAATCAGCAGTCTGCTGATTGATTTAAAAGGAAAATTTGGGACGAGTTGAAATAATTCCCAGAGAGTGTCACAGTGTGTAAGGCATCATCTGAAAGTGTGGAACGTGTGATTCATGAAAGACGTTAAAAGAAGAAGAATATGTTAGATAGATAGATAGATAGATAGATAGATAGATAGATAGATAGATAGATAGAAAAATCAGATAGATAAATAGATAAAATATTTATTACATAGATAGACATGAAAAATTATACCGAGATAGATAGATAATAGATAGATAGATAGATAGATAGATAGATAGAAATCTATTCTAGAATTATATATATATATATATATATATAATTAATTTAATTTTTTTCATTGGGACTAAATTATGCCGATGATTAAACATTCAAATAAAAAAAAAAATAAGTAAGAGATCTCAAGGTTCGATATAGAAAAAAAGAAAGAACGTTGGAGGGAATTTTTTTATGTTCCGGACGTCACACAAACACGAAAGAAAAATGAAACGCATATATACAAAAACAACAATTTTATATAATACAAAGTTTTTTATCTATTCATACACGGAGTGTGAATGATAAGAAAAAAAAAGAAAACTAAATAATATAAGGGATGGGAGATAAGTTACCAATTATTAAACAGATACTAATGCGGCGAAATTCATATGAATACAGAAATATTTTTTGACTATAAGATATGGCAAAAATTTATATAAATTATATGAGGTTGGAATCGACGTCGATTGACAATTATCGGGGTACAATTTGTTCAAAGGATATTTATACACTTCTTTGAAAGTAAATGATGGGATTGACAATATTCTAACATGAATTCTTGACTGGCGACGTCCAATCCGTGTTGATGGTGAGGAGAACGACAGAAAAAAAATCACGGGAATATATTTAACGTGGATTGACGATGTTGATCTACAATCTCGCGTCGGTCCTTTGGTTTTTATAAAAAATGCATCTAATTCTTCTAATGGCGAAAAGTTAAGACATCCTTTTGGT